TCAGCTTTCATATTCATATATTTGATTCATTATATCTATTATAGTTTTCCAGTAAATCAATGAAATTTGAAAACGTTTTTTTTGCCTTAAGCTAAATGTCGCATTTTTGTTTTAATTTGTTTTGCTCGTTAGGCGAGGTTCCATTGTAACTTCATGTAAACTATTGCTGTGTATACCTCGTTTAGTGCGGGTAATCGGTTCAGCCAATGTCCCGGACTGTTTGAAACCGTATTAATCAAGAAACTAAATATAGCATTATTATAATTTTGTACACAATTTTTTTATTTTGCTCAATTGAAATTTTGTTTGTTTTGAAATTTTCAAACCGGACTATAGCGATGATGCCGCACTACGTGAGGTATTTCTGAATAATGATTATTCTAAGATTGTCGCAAATAACACACATTTCGACCTTCATCAAAGATTTATTCGTTTCCTTAGCTGCACATAATCCGATCTTTGCTCGATTCGTGAGAACGTTCATAACTATACAATTATGTGGTCGGATAAAACCTCCGTTTTACAGCGTAGGATGCATGCATGTCACATCCCTGTGAATGTGAAAGTTTCCGGTTTTATACATAAACAATTAATGCAGATGCAGAAATCCTTCAATTTCACCGCAAAAACAACAACAGTTGCTTTTAACATAAGAACGTAACTGTAATTTCATATGATCACAATTCTGATTCAATTGAAACAATTTCAACTAAATTTCGTTTCAATTTGAATGTTTTTTTTTTACTATTCATAAACAATTAATGCAGTTGCACAAATGTTTTAATTTTGCTACAAAACGACTATTATTTAAAATACATCTACACCTCGCATAGTGCGGTTTCGATTAGTTATGACACACTGTGCAGTCAAGTTTGAAAATTAGTACACAAATTAATCATTTTTCCTCATTTTCTATTTATTTTTGGTTTTAAAGCGGTTTCAAATTCGAATTATCCATTGATAATTCTCTGTGAATGATGCGAAAATGCGTTGCGATTACAACGTTAATCATGTGTATGCACAGCTCACTTGATTCTAAGTATATTTTCAAGTAAATATCTACAGTTAATTCTCGAAATTCGAAATGTTATTTATTTGAACAGTTTTGTTTTAATTATTTCTTTGTAAACTTGTAAAATAGACATAACTATAAACTAATTACAGACATGTATTACTTAATAATTGTACAGAAATCAAATTAGAACGCAATTAGATCGATCATGACCACATACATTATAAATAGACTGCTTTATTGTCGTTCTAGATTAAATTGCGTTACAAATAGTGCAATCAATATTTGCCTTTTGACACGGTCCCATTTTAAAGACAACAATAATATACAGTCAATCCTCCTATAACGCGGTGGGTGCGTACCGCGTTATATGGAAGCCGCGCTATAAGAAACTCGGAATCAGTACAAATCACATCATTCGTTATATAAAGACCAATAAATATAAAAGACAAGATAAATTATTTAAGGATTGATAAAAAAAAATGAAACAAGAACTAAACAAAAAGACTGTTTTTCAACAAAAACAATGAAGACTTTTGTAAAATTATGTAATCTTTCAACACTCATCCTCGCTGTCAGATATGAATCGCCTAACTCGTCTTCTTTTAAGGGGCAAAATGTCTTCATCACTTAGTTGATCTTCACATCGGTTTTCGATTGTAGCTTTTTTTTCTAACTCCACTAAATCTCTCTATATAGAGCGAAGCAATTTCTTAACTCTCTTTTAAACTTTGAACCGTTGAACGATCAGTTTGAATGAAATGAAGTTCTAATTCTTTAGCCAAATTTAGCCCTTTTTTCACATCTTGTAAATCGAGATTTGGCACCCATTCGTTTTCCTTATTTTCGTTTACCAATGCATTTGAGATGGATGCATCAATTAATTCCATCAGTTCTTCCTCATCTAAAGTTTCTTCCCCGAAAACTAGTTCTCTTACATCCTGATGGTTTACTGCAAATTCTTCATCGCTTAAACGAGAAGCACTGTTTACTATTTCTGTAACTGGGAGTGAAATTGTAGAATCATCTTGTATTGCTTGAACTATTTGAGGTAAAAGAGGTTTCCAACACGAATTAAGCGTTGATGGGATGCTGTTGAACGAAAACCGCACTGTAAGAGTACCGCGTTATAGGAGGGCTGTCGCAATTTCAGCTCCGCGTTATATGGAAACCGCGTTATAGGAGGATGGCAATTGCGAAAGTCAGTTAGCAGTTGTATCCAAACTTTACAAAATCTGTATGTTCTCTTACCATCAGGTTGTTTATTTTACATTGAAAACTGACTATCAAAAATCTGCTTCCAATTTTTTTTTTATTAATTAATTATCCAAAAAAATCAATTTTTACAAGCAGAAATTGTGTGGTTGATAATCCATTAGCTAAAAATCTATACAAATAGTTAAATACATCCATTTATATACTATAATTATTAATGTTTACAAAGAAATATGAAGAAATATTGTACATTTAGTTTTGATCAGGTCGAAAAAGTTTTGTAGTCATGTTTGATTAAGTTTATTAAAAGTTGTATTTTGATCTTTAGTAAAGAGTACTAAGGAAATTGTAACAGTAGTAAAATAATGAAAATCTAATAACACCTTGTAAGAGATTCTAAATTGAGTTTAATTGTAATTGAAAATTGCTATAAAAGTGTACAGAGTTTTCCATTCACAAGAGAATAATACCTGTTAACTTAATGACTTCTCTTTGTAATTGATTGTAAACAAGCGCTGATAAAAAAAACATATTAAATATCAAAAAGTATTCATTATGAAAGTCAAATCAATTTTTGTTAAATAACAATCAATTTATACAAATGAAATTATACAAATAATTATGATAATTGCTTTATTTGAAAATTCATTTTTTTTTTGTTATGTTAGTAGAATGTCACACATAGTTACAATATAACAAACTACATATAAAATTAATTTACAATCAAATGTTTTATTTGATTCGTGGTTACTAGATTGTTGCATAAATTCGCAATCGAAAACACTTGCACATACATTTACGATATGTCAGCAATACAAAACAGATGTTGCTAATACGACTGTAAACAATGCAATCAAAATGATACAGCTAACCATAACAAAAACAGCTAACGTTCACTACAATCTACTTCTAAAGCAATTAATTCCATTATCTTTTCCAAAAAAAAAAATATAATAATTACTTAACAGAACTTATTTATATGTTAAACGTTTTCACAATATCAAAATGTATACCTTTTTATATTGTATTCATGTCTACAGCAAGTTGAGTAGAAACGGATAATTGTATTGCACAACAGTTTATTGGTGATAATCATTTTCAAATTGTGTAAATTTGTTGAGTTTGTATTAGATTAATTAGTTTGCATAGCATTAATAGTTTTAAAAATAAAAGATGATGGTATATATAAGTTTATTGTAAATAATATATATATATATAATATACAAATTTAAAGATTATTATTTCTTTCTTTGCTTTTTAGTTAATGTTATATTATATAAATACACTGCAACTACGAAAATAAAACACTTTAAACGAATTGCTCAATGATGGAGAGAAGATAACAGAGAGAGAGTGAGAAACTTAAATTAATTTCAAATTTGTTATATATTTTCACGGTTCCATCAACTAAATTTATCTAGTTTTCTGAGTGAGTGTGGGTGGGAGTCTTCCATGTTACGGATACATAAATCAATGTTTGAATATATATGTATATATCACTAAATTGGCAAATTAAATGGAATAAATCGAAAAAGAAAAATTACAGCTAAATATTTTTTTTTATACAATAACCAACATTTATATCACCAGTTGGAAATTTTAAAAAAAAAAAATATATATATATATAAATCATAAAGAGATTTAGCATGTTTCCATTCCCCTATAAAAACCTGTCCAAAGAAACGTACAAACCAAATCAGCATGCACAACTGTCTCCGCTGCCGCTGCTTTTCGATGGTTGACTGAGCTTGATCTGATCGGGGAACTCGTTGTACAGATCGTCGTTCTGGTTCTGCTGGCTGAGAGCGTTCCTCGCAATGCATTGGAAGGCCTGCTCCACGTTCAGGGCTTCCTTCGCAGACGTTTCAAAATACGGTATGTTGTTCTTCGACTGGCACCACTGTTGGGCCCTCTTTGTCGAGATTCCTCGCGGCTCCAGGTCCACTTTATTGCCAAGCAGAACGAACGGGAAATTCTCAGGTTCGCGCGGCGACGCCTGAATCAGGAATTCGTCCCTCCAACTGTCCAAAGATTTGAAAGTATTCGGTGCAGTCACATCGAAGACTAAAACAATTACAATTAAATACTGTTGTTGTTGTTTTTTTCTGCATTGGTATTTTGCTTACCAAGCACACAGCAATCCGCCCCCCTGTAAAAAGCGACTCCCAACGATTGGAATCTTTCCTGTCCGGCAGTGTCCCAAATTTGCATAGTCACAGCCCTGTCATCGACAATCAGCTCCTTGGTGAGGAAATCTGCTCCAATTGTTGCCTTGTACTGATTGGAGAACTTCTTGGTGATGTACTGATTCATCAGAGACGTTTTTCCCACCCCCGAGTCGCCGAGGATCACCACTTTCAGCAAAATTTTCTTATTCGAAGCCATCTAAAGCCAACGGAAATCGTAGACAACAATTAACAAAGCACCCTGACGTGATTCATCCGCGAAGATAACAAAAACAACCAAATGATTCAACAATCAGCTGAGAGCTATTGTGTATTATATGTCATTCATTGTCAATTGAGAAAAAAAATGTAACTATTGTGAATCATCTAATGAACGCAATTCGAGGATTCAAATGATTGCGTGCATTGTAAAGAATAGTTTGTGATTGTGGTTTTCGCATTGAAAAGATATTAAACTCACCCCTAATGTTTGTTATTGCCTCTTGATAAACACTGAATCAATTTTAACTGCGGAATTGACAAATACTAAGATGGCGCTCGCGGAGCGTTCACGATATGAACGATATGAGCAGCGTTTTTCATTCGTCACAGATCCGAGTGCGTTACGAAAGTCCAAACATCATTTTTTCCAAAAAATGATTTTCTACAATACGATTGAATTTTATATTTCACATTCAATTTGTATTTATTTTATTTGGTTATAAATGTATACATATATAAATTTAAAAAATATATTCAAAATATTTCATTATTTTGTATTTTCATATACAGGTCCGTCTTCAGTTATTTTTTACATGCCATTAAGGCAAATACTATTAAGGCAAATACACGATATTGTAGTTTTTCGGTGGCAATCGAAATCCCGTCAATCAAATACCCAAAGTTCGAAATCCCGACGATTGAAATCTCGACTGTATCAGAATTCCGACAACCATAATACCAACTGTATCAGAATTCCGACAACCATAATACCAACTGTATCAGAATCCCGACAACCATAATACCAACTGTGTCAGAATCCCGACAACCATAATACCAACTGTATCAGAATCCAGACAACCATAATACCAACTGTATCAGAATACCGACAAACATAATCCCGACTGTAACAGAATCCCGACAATCATAATCCCAACTGTATTAGAATC